TTTAATCTTTCTGAAACGAACCGAAGTTGCTTTTCATTGTTAGGGCATTTCTGATTCGTCTACACTCTCATGCTTGTTCGGCTAATGTGCATTCATAACTCTATCTCGTATTGGGGGACAAGCAATCTAAAAATGATCTGCTTGTTCACTTATCGCAAAGTAAGATCTGTCATTAAATGAATTAAAATGAAGAATTTCGTAACTTTAAGAAATTACGAAAACTTTCTTTTGCTTGCTGTTTCCATGATGCACGGGGAAAGCCGGTTGGTTGAATCTTATTCCGTTTTTAAAAGTTTATGGAGAACGATACCTAATTCACTCGTTGCTTCCTCCACATTTCCACTTTTGGATTAGAGGAAGCTTGCACGAAACTTCATCCAATCGATATTTTGTCCTGTATGTCAGGCCAATCTATTCCGGGAAGCTAAGAAGCATCGTACAGCGGCTCCATCTTAACCGGGAATTGTCAGCAATGCGCATCCCGCAAAATTGTGCCCGTTTCCGAACCCGCGACTTTTCTGCTAATAGTTTGAATACTTAATTGTTCGCTCACCATTAGGTAATCTGCAGCGTTATAATCTGGCACTTGAACAGGAGATAGTACCCCTAGGCCTTCAATCACAGGATTCACCTCGAATGGTCACAACTGTCGACTGCTTCTCGATTGGCGACATCTTAGATTCAAGTTTCATTCATCGGATGAATTCTATTCTTCCTCCGAGCTACTTATAGACTGAGGTAAGTGTGAGATTTGTACACGTCTGTTGGCTAGTTCGTCCTACACATGATGCTAATCTAAGATTCGAGACTTCCTGAAGTATCGCGAGATGTGTAGTGCAGGTGATATCCAATGGGGACGGTGCAACTGTACAAGCTTTTCGGCTTTTCATCATAAACTGGTTTCATTTACGGCACAAAGTGCCAAAATCTGTACATCATACCAATAAAGAGGGCCATATCACCTGCCCATTATGAAAAAAGGCTTTTCTGACAAGTATTAGTGTCGCCTAGACGTGTAATTATTTAACTTACCGGGAAACACGATCATAGAGCAGGGATGTAGCTGGCCTCCTACAGGGTTATTTAAAACTAACGGAAAACGTTGTTGTCAACTCTCCAAGCAAGTGATTTTTCTTGATAGTAGGCTGTTTTGTGCATTAGTACTTTTGTGTCCCAGTTTTTGTTACGCTGACTGTTACTTATTTGTTACTCAATTTTACAACCCCACATTTAAATATCCGCTTAGTTGTGCAGTCATTTCGGGGCACAACTGCTTATACTTGAATCCACGGTTGCTCTCAAATACAAGTTGGTTTCTAAAATGAAATATCAATTCAAGACAAATTAATATCAAAAAGCTAAAACGATGGGAACAGGGTAGGCTAAAATGTGCACACACTTTACAGCCGCTTGTACTCACCTGTTGTCTACACAGCTCTACCGCTTCGAATCGGGTATATCAGTTGAAGGTGATGGTTATATTGAGCGTAACAAAGACATCTTTCGTGTGTGCGACGCCAAACCAGCGAATTAACACTGATTGGTAGAACTTAACCAAATTGGTAAGCCGATCTTCACACGCAACCAAAGTATCCGTACAAAAAGCATAAACAGTAGCAGAACGCACATGAAAGAACTGGATGCGTGCCAGAACAGAAACGGGGAAGTCATGTGAGCTCCGCGACTAACTGAGTAGGCAGCTCGACAACTTAAGAGACTTTTCATCACGTAGCACAATGCATCTAGACATAAATTTGATAATTCGCTGAAGCTCAGGATCAATGTTCAGGTGAGAAGCGTACCCCATTACGAAGTAAGAATCGGTTACCAAGCCTTTGAAACGCTCTCAATTTATTGAATATTTAGGACGACCTGTCTAACATTGATGATCGGAGTGTTCTTCACAAGATGAAAAACTCGATGATGCTCGGACCAATAACACAACGCGGAGGAGTAGTCAGCAGAGGCATGCTGAGGCCAAGTGAAAAGTTATCCCACTATTGATTTTGGAATCAATAACTTCTGGCAACATAATTAATGCTCTTGCTCTATGCGACACTTCTTTTCGATGAGGGTTTTGCATAAATTCCAATCTGGTCAGCTTGGATACAAAAAGGATACTTTTCAACTTAATTGTGAAAGATAAATATGTTGAATTAAGGCTGTGAATTGGAAAATTGCTCTGATTTTGTGATAAAAAAAACCGACAAAGGGAACAAAACTGACCGGAACTCAGGCTTATCCTGACCGTGGAGAACAACGTGCTTGAAATTGTCAAGGTAGACAGAAATGGTCACATATATTACGTTAAAGGGACATTGATAACATCTGATGCTGTGGCAATAATCGTCTGGGGAAATCAATATTCGATATTTAACTAGAGCATTCCGAAGTCAGGTGTTCGATTCAGTGGTAACTTCAGTCAGTAAAGTTGAGCTTAGATCAGAACATCGCTGAGTAAATCAGGCGTCTAGGCGCTCACTTCAGTAATCCCAAAATACTTTTATTCTGGTCATTACCGTGTGGACTTCGTAACTTGTTAGGATAGACCTGGAGATAGAAATATAAGGTGTGGTGTTGTATCGTGGGTGGCCGTCTCTGGGTTACGCCTGCACTGAGCCTGCCAGACTACGCGATAGGGAGAAGACAGAGAACTGGGGACACGGCTGTATTGTCAGGACAAAACATACAGAGCGTCTGCGTAAACATGTAGGATGACTAAACGGCCAAATATGGTCGTTCACTTGTTCGCTCCGCACAGCCGATGGCGGTGTTCCGGTCGTGAACAGTCTCAGGCGAACTACGCTGGTCTTATGTTGCTAAGCCGTGTTTGGTGGGGGCCGCCAACTCACCTACTTTCCGGACGTGTCGAACCGATGGTGACCTTGGCGATGCGTCACTCTCTGCACATGTGCTTTTTTCATGTCTGGGTGCGTCCTGACATGTGGTGAAGAGTTGAACGGGTGCGCAATTACTGAACTGAGACAACTATGAGGATGCCAAGCCCCGTGTGTTGTCTAAGTTGCGGTTACCAAACTAACGGCTCCCCTACAAAATGTATATTTTCTCGCCTATTTTTCATGTTATAAAGTAACTACAAATCGCATGTGAAATTTCAGTGATTCTGTGTTGGCGGCTAAGCGTCATCACTTTACTTACCTTGGTGCAAAACTCCACTGTGTCGACGTCAGCTGGCTCGAGGAATCCTCTGTGACTGCCACACCCACTGTTGGCACCCTTTGTGAAAATGGGCATCGCTGTTGACTCATTCCCGTTGACGACGATGTTCTCCTTTTTCCCCATAGAGCCAGATAACTTAGGCAGGCAACGGCTGAGTATTTCATCTCCACCATTTAACAGGTCGGGTGGGATTTGATCTCGACCAGTCAATTGGTGACGCTTGATGGCGGAAAGACGTTCGCCTACATTCAATGAAGGCTCTAAATTCACTGTCAAGGGCTGTTTTCTGAGTCGGAACCTGGCTTTACAACTATAAGTGTCCACTCGAATTGTTGTTTATGGCGTGTAACCTAACGATTTAGGTGTTCTTCTCGTTTAGCAATTAGCGAACCGTTGTTATCAGTGAATATTTCACCCCACTAGAAGCATTTTTCGGGTCGATAGGTGTATTTTGAAATGCTTTACATGCATTCCCGCCGACTGTCGTCTCCACCTCCTAAGATCTGGGCTTATAAATATTCTGGATCCGCGCAGTCATTCTTTTTCACCAGACGTTTGGCATTTCGTGGAGTTCCATTTTACTCTCCAGAAAAAGAAGTAAGTGTTGGAGCTTTGAGCAATGCTAATGCATTCTTTAAATTCATTGCTGAATTTCAGAAGAGCTTGATGAACAGTCGGTAGTTTTTATTTGGGCAACGTTTCGCTTTTGACACAAAAGCTTCATTAGGCCAAATGTGCAGGTCACCAAATTGGCTCCCCAAATTGGTTCCCCGTCTGCCTTATAACCTAGCCAATTTGGTGACCTGCTCACTTGGCCTGATGAAGCTTTTGTATCAAAAGTGAAACGTTGCCCAAATAAAAACTATCGATTGTTTATCAAGCTCTTCTGAAACGATGACTTCTCAATCGGTTCCAAACCTTTTCCAATTCATTGCTGAATTCTTTGTGGTTGCGTCCTTCTACGAGCGTAGCATATCGCATATTGCGGGGTTTCTGACCACATTTTTCGGGAAGGTTTCAGCAGGTGGTTTTAGTATGCTTGCTCTACATTGGTGTCATTGTTCTTTTTTGGTGGCTATTTGATTTGTGAACATCTTGAGGGGATGCGCAATATACGCTCCAGAAAAGCTCCGCAAAAAGACAGCAACAAAAACGCGTGTGATCTGATTCCTTATAGGTGTTCCTGAACGAGCGACCCACGTCATCTATAGCCAATGATGATATAGTCTATTAGTATTGGGGGTTGAATCGCATGCGGATACGCTATGTGCACAGGTGTCTTGAGTTGCTTGGATGTTATTGATACCCAGAAACGGTCTATGGTTATCACATGACTGCAACGAGTGCTCGCTGATGTTCATGCGTCTCAATTTTACTCCAATACAACAGTCTAATTGAGCTTCAGCAGCTCCAGGTCCACCTGACTGCATATTATTTATAGCCCAGGAACCACAAATAGTGTATGGTTTCAAGGCCCGCCACAATAAAACGCTAAAAGCCATTTTCAAAACAATACTAATCGCTCGAATAGTCATGAAAACCGCCTTAAGAGTACCAGAGTCAGTCTTTTAGATTGTAGGCAAATGCAATAAACAGGCAGCGATTATCAGCAAGTTTACTGGCGCTACCAAGCGGTAGATACTACTGATGAAGCATACGAGTAGCGTCTCCTCGTAAATGCGCTTCGCGTCTCTTGAAAATTGAGACCTATTTGGGAATTTGTGGAGTCGCTTTGTGGCATTTGCTTGAATTTGAGTAACAGTCAATGAGTATCCAGAAAAGTTCAGGGTGAAGTTCAGGAGAAGATGGATATTCAATAGTCAAGATGCATATGGGCGTTTCGCCCCCTGTCCAATAGTCTTTAGCTGTTCTTGTTGTCGTTTCTCTAATAAACAACTTCGCTGCGAAGGCCTTCTTTTTTTACCATCACCAGTAGAAGCGGCCGCCCCGGCTTCTTCATCCCGAGAGGTTTGCAGCCAGAACTGAGAGAGACGGAAGGGGGGTTCAGTGCATCACCCGTTAATTGGGTCTTGAATCCTCTTTCCAAAAGGACAGAACACATCAAGTGAAAGTGAGTCCAGTGTAAATGCAAGAACAGAAGATGAAAATACCTTGAAAGTCACAGCTTCTGCTTCTTGGTTGGCTTTCAAGAAAGCCAAACTAAAGCCTTGTAACTCTACTGCTTGGACTGTAATGTTAGGTGCTTATACCTTTAGTTTTTACGGTTTAGATTGTGACCTGCTGAGCACAGGAAAGTTTCTTCCAGGTTTGGCAGGAAGTACTGTTTTATGATTAAAAGGTATTATTCTTAAACGAACTGAAAGAGCAGAAAGACGAAGTAAAACCAACCTGTAAGATTGACGGAAAAACATTCAGTAAAGCACATTACCGAAAACTGATTGTTGTTTTTTCACTTTGAATCATTACTAAAACCATGCATATTTTTATCCTAAATAGATATTATCCTTGACGATCTCATACAAGCGGAAACCAACTACATTAGACCAGATTCGCTTCCTAAAGTTGGGTTAACACTTTAGAGTTTTTGGTAATTTTATCACAGTGCTGCACTCTGGATTGGACCAACACCCATGAACTGTGGAAATTGCATTCCATTCATCGACAAAATACTTCCCCGTTGTTCGCTAAGTCAAAAGGAGCAAAGCACTTACTCAAACAGTAGCCACATGTGTTGCTCAGAATAGGTTCCTATGAGTCATAAATGGGCGGATTTCCGGAGTGGAGAATACATCAATTTCCACGCATTTTTCTGTTTCGTCCAGATTCTGACAGCCTTGTTGCAAACGTCTGATGAACCTTGGGTATGACATAATGGTTGCTGTGACGCTGGAACTATAAGGTCCCTAGCTGAACACCACAAAAACTACCTTTCCCATATCTATCTACAGAAACTGCTTATATCAAGTCCAAACCATCGGGACTCCTGTACTTACGACCAAGCATCCATTTGAAGAAATGAGACTCAGATTTCTTTCATCGGAGATTAAAATATGAGGATGTAGTAGTGATGGCTCATCACGTCGTGGAAGCTTGTGTTGAGGAAGAAGCGCCGGAACAGAAATATTTACATTTGTGAACACACGGTATTTTGATTTCTCAGTTTGCAACACTGTCATCCGGGTGACATCCTTCAAACAACCCACGGAGGTTTTCATGAAACGTCATGCCAATATTCCACGTGATCTTTCAAGAAAGATTCACTAGAGAATCACATAAAAGAGAAAAATGGATTTGTCACTTCCCTTAGTTAGGTTCGCTCCAGTGGAGGATTCAGCTGGCACAGACTAACTGCAAAATTAATATTAAAGAGTCGCTTTTCAATTGTTATCAAAAAATACTTTTGAAAGACTTTATGTATGGACGTGTGGTGATGTCTTGCTATCGCCTGTCAACTTCTTGTTGGAGGTACTTAGCCAAGTTCCCATCCTAAAACATTGGTAAGCATCATTTGATTCTAGTTGGTGGAAATAAGACAGGATATTGCCGAGTTTCCAACTAAGATAACACTCCTACAAACATCCCGATCAGCTAGTATCAGTCTTTAGAATCCCTTCAGGTAGGTGTGCATAACTGAACCATCGTAACAGGATGCAATCAGACAAAGTAGAATTACAAAAATCGAAACCGTTTCCTATTGATCCCATTGGTGTTAATTCTGGAAGGCAGCAAAAGTGAACATCAGATTGCTTCTCCAGTGACAAAGATAGGACCTGATTCTAATTTGAGATTACTTTGTGTTTGTGGAAAGTGTTTGAGAAAAGTGTTGTTTTGACATTTTAAGCTACCGAAATGGGTGATCATGGAGGTTATCATGCCTCACGTCGTCCGGCGTGTTGTTTTAGTGCTATGGCTACGAGTAACAATTCTCTCCGAAATTTTCGACAGAATTCATCGAAAGTAAACAAAAGAAGGTATTTTGGTCTCTTTCTGTCGGTCACGTACTCAATATGCTTTTTCGTTTTTGACTATCTTTCTTTGATGTGAGTGGAATCTTGTTTAATCTGCAGTCTAATTGTGTTGGATTCGTGGATAAAGGGTATAACAGTGTGGCTATTTTGACACTCCCACTAGTGATCGATCGGATTTCCTTGTGAACTGCGATTTTAAACGAAGGTTAATTCTAATTCGTCTGCTCCTGATCCAAGATGACCAATCAAGAGGCACATTCCAGCCTGTAAAATTTAGTAAGGAAGATTGTCTCCCCTAGACAAAGGCTATCATCAACAGCAGAATACCCGGTGTCCAAAACTCATGCTGTGCTGGCATACAACCTTCATTCGTCTGAAGGTCTCACTGTGAAGAAAAGAATAAAAGTGCATTAGGAAGGAACTTAGTTCTGGCCTAACACAACCAAATAGAAGAGCCTACACCTTCAGACATTCAATTGGAAAATCTCGATGGAAATTGACAATAAGAACGCCTCTCACATCCATTAGGAACCGTATCTTGCAAATTGTCAATGTGCAAGGTGGATGCCGCAGGCCTCACTTTGGAAGGTGACTCGTACAAACATCGCTAAAACTTTTCGTAACCACTTTCGTATCCCCCTACCAGATCCCAGGTTGACAACTGAGCTGCTGACGCCGCTCTGAATACGGCATGGAAAACAGCACACTATTCGCAAACTATGGTTCAGCATGCTCAATAAATGGTCTGTTATCCTACTTGAGGGTTTTTGTATCATTTTGGTATAGATAGACGTATGCGTTCTATATTTTCAAAGAGATTCGACAGACATGCCGCAATAGGGAATTTAAAGTGTACGGAAGAGAAAAAACGAAAATTCCTCTTGAGATTTATCTCCAATAGCCGCACAGCTTCCGAGGTAGCCAGCTTCTGAGGTGATAGATAAACGCACTCAAGTGAAATATTTCTTGTCTGGTTATGGGATTTCGAAACACGTCTGGAGCGCGAGAAATTGCATTTCGAAATGAAATTGATCAGTAAGTCAAATCGTCATACGTTTTTTCACCTGGTAACACAGGAAAAGGGGGAGGCAAACACTTCAACGCCACAGAAAACACAAGAGTGACTAATTTGCGAAGCTAAGTCTTGGGAATTAAAAATAGAAAGGTTTTTGGTATGGGCAGAGAAGAACTTTCTGTGGACACCAAAATCTTTCCTTGTTGAATGGAATTGAGGAATGGCTGTTTATATTCTTAGGTCGGGTATCTGTATTCCATCATGGGGTTTCAAGTAGCTTGTGTGAAGGTTTGATTATACCTTTTACTTGATAAAAACACTAAATGTCAAATAATCTTTTTTTACCGTTAACTAAAGCATGTTTGTAGGCACGGTGGTGTGAAAGTATGGTTGCTGACAGGCACTATACCCCTGATTATGAACAATCGTCATCTAGCTGAACTCAAGCGAAACCACGAAATGAAACGGTCCATCAGGAATATGTTGTTTGACATATCAAGGAATACTGTTTAATATTGAGTCTGCTAAATATCCAGTCATATTGAGATACCCATCCTATACTCTGCCGTTGTTGCTGTAACAGACACGTGGGGTCAAAGGCATGTTGCACAAATTATCAGCCCGCCGAATCCACCTTCCGTAGAAACGATGACCGCCAACCTGAACCTCGATCAAACGCGAACTGTCGACTTCCAACGCTGTCATTCACTGTGGATCAATTCTATCTAGTTAGCTCAGCGTGATGCCTTCCACGGTCAGTTCGGACTGGGTACGCCGGTCCGGATTACTCGTTATGCTACGTGCCGTTAGGTTATCGCCCTTATGGATGTACTGTGGATCGTTCGTAGTACCGGGCTTTCTACAGCCCGTATCTTGATTGTGCACGCACCATAGGATGAACTCTTGTCGGACAGTCAAGTAAGGTTGCGGCCCATTTTACCAGCAATAATTTGACATCAATTGTCTAACGCGATGGTTGGGAAGTAAGCCTGATCGGAAGCGCAAATCAATTCTATCAGCTATTGCATTCTCACGACAGAGAGAGAGAGAGATCGAAGAAAAACTTGGAGGACACAGAACGTGAATTTTCTTTGGTTCTGAAGGTATTTTCTTCCCAAAAGAATATAAGTTTCCCGTCGATAAAACTGCCTCATCAAAGAATGTGGCTCTTCCTTGGGGTCTGCTCGTTGGAATGGGTACCATACAGTCAAATTCTGACTGCATAGCAAGCATAGTTAGTGTTTTCGAATGACCATTGGACAATCCATACGACAGAATATTTGACAACCCATCCATTTGTTGACTCAGTCAGCCTGGGATAAACGCTGTCGAAATTCGCCGAAAAAAATTCCCCTGCACTTTTCTCCAACAAGATTAATAGAAAAGGCTGTTACCACTGGGACTTTTGGTGACAGTAGACACCACTGTTTGCAAGGTTCTGCGAAAGCTGATCGCCCACAGTATGTCGGCGCATATCCTGGAGTCTAATCATAACCTACCATTTACCTTGATTTAATCACTATCATGACGTAAGATTACGGAAAACCAGGAGACACCCGGGTTTGAACCGGGGACCTCTCGATCTGCAGTCGAATGCTCTACCACTGAGCTATGCCTCCACGACAACTTCTTTCGACAGTATAAATTTCAGTTAACACTAAGTACGAAATATCACATGTAAATGTGTGAAATCGATATCATTCATAACCTGATCACATGTACTTATAAGCGTGCACACTTTCGAATAAGCGTCCACTTAATTATTGGCAATTCACTTGCAGTTACTAACTTTCTAGTGCCAGCTGTCTTCTTAAGATGAGTGAGAAAAAATTTCACGCAGGATTTTTCTAATAATAATCGCATTGCGGGTTACAAATCTAGTACCACAAAACTGCACAAAATATTAGAAGACTTTAGGAATGCCCACTTTGTGAATAAAGGACTTGAAAACCCGTAGTGAATGCACATTAAGAATAGGGCTAAAAAATTATGAGCAAAAGAGTCCATTAATTTGCATTTGAGTCACAAGTTTACAACAGTTCAGTATGAAACGAAGTGCTCAGCTGTGCATGTATTACCCTGTTTTTCAAAACACTTTTCAAGGCTACACACGCTCAATCAGGGTTAATGCTGAAGACGACGGACATGCAGTTGATGGGAGCAAATCTTAGAGATGCTTGGGTGACAGACTGTCATCGGGATGCTGAACCCCACTACACCGCCAAATGCGGAATGGACTGTTGATCAAGTAACAGTTAGACAGAGTGGAAAGTTTGGATTTGTTGTTTGGGGAAACGATATGTAGTAAGGAATCAAGCAAGAGTTTAGAAAACCGTTTCAGAAAGCTACTTTTAATATGAGATGAACAGTTGTTCAATAATTATGAAGAAAAGATTTTTAACCACACGATGAATTGTTGGAGGCCTAATAAAAAACCAGCCAACTGGAAATAGTTCCTTAACGCTACAAACCAGGACCAGTGTGGAGTTAAGTTCTTCCCAATCACCAATAATTCTTGTGGACCAAATGACCTAGAATGATAGAAATCAGTTATAATAAAATGAACACCTGACTTACTAAATGCTTCCATATTATTTCCCTGCACAAATAACTCCAACTCTCTCTCTCCCTCACTCGACAAAATGCGCGGGTACAAACGCTGACTCGAGCGAAATTTGCAAGTACAGGTCGTCACTGAGAACTAAAATAGTCAACTTAATTACGAGTTTCTATAGAACCTGGCCATTTTGAAGGCACCTTTTTTCAAAATGTGCGGCTGCTCTTATCTAAGACCTCTCCCCATACGCTCGTCAATCACAAGCCCTCTATTCTCATTGCGCTGTATTGCTTTGTGATTTCAACTTCCTGGGCCATCAGCTGTTATGGTGTGAATCGCAGTCCCCGTTTTAGGACTTCCACATTATCCAGATCTCTTCTATGTCTAACACATGTCCCACCAGCGCTTGGTATTCTTCCGCATTCTTTGGAGGTTCGTTCATCCTTCTTTTATGCCCATGGATTAAGGTGTGCAGTTCCCTGGCCATTTGTCCCATGTAAACCTTAGTGCAATCTCTGCATTTAACTTTATACTTACAGTCCATAGTCCTTTCAAGTTCCTATTTGATTCCCAAACTGACTACTCAGTCTAAATAAGAGGAATTTTTGGACAGAATAGGGGGCATAAAAAGCTCATCATCGTCCTAAGTACAGCATCAGCATTTAACACTGATGTTTTGCTGCCATCCAGCCGTAATTCGCTTGGAAAACTTAGTATGAATAAAAAAGTAAAAGTGAATGAAGAAGGGGTCAGCGATAGTCTACCACAATCATTCTGAGGCACCCAAACCTCCGGACACTCATTCAGGCAATCTGGATATCTAATGACGACATGATCGGACATCGACTAGAGGCCGCATCTTGCAGCATCTCCAACCAGGCACAGTGGAAACCACGCAGTCCCCATTCTGGAAGGTCAGCTGCATTAAAAGCAAATACACTCCGTCACCTCTTTTAAACCCCTCTGTCGGGTCAAAGATTGTCCACCAACGATCTGACTGCGGCAAGGAAATCTGAACTCATCTTGGTAGACGATGGATCGGCATGAGCAATATGTGACCCAATCACTATAGCTTTTGGCACTGGATACATCCTTCGACTTAAGTCCCCGTTGCTCAACCGAACACTCATTTTATTATTGCTTGGTTGCGGATTCATTGACACCAACCCGCACGAACTGCTTCTTGAACAACTGTTGTCAGAGACCTGAAGCAATTCTAGTTCCGCTGCTGGGAGATGTCACTTCTCACAGCCATACAACAGAAAGTATCGTACAAGTCCCCTGCTGCCATAGGTGTCTCGCGAAACGAACCTTAGAGATTTTAACATTGACTTTATCTGTTTTGCTACCATCGAGCAGGCACAATTTCCGGGGCACTCCTTGCCAGGCAAGTGCGTTAATGATCTCCACGCTAAGTTTGAATTGGCATCTTGAAATTTGACGGGACGGGCTATGTAAACATTCCTCAGAGATTCAAGCAGTACCATTGTTCAGCACTTGAGCGAAATTAGTAATGCTATGCCATAGGCAAAACTCCCGGTACCGTGGAAAGGTGTAGAAACTAATTTCCAACACAAATTCACATCCAACGACGAGGCAGTTAGAAGGGAAGGGGATTTGCCCAACTTTGGATCTGATAACCTCAAGTTTAATAAGTTATTCGTCTGCCCATTCGTCCTCCGGCTTTGAAGGTCGAGGAGAAAAGTAACCCTGGATGATCGTATGGTCCACACATGTCTCAAACGAGCACCAATCACTCATCGATTGGTGCCATCAGCAGCTGACGGAGATCGGATGATTTTAGTCTCCGGCTAGCACGCTTTCTGAATACAAATTGTCGTCAGACGAATTTGGTTGGTTATGGAGCAGTGCATAAAAACAACCTGTGGTCAGCACACAGCTGAAGCAGTTGTTCGCCATTGTCCGTAAATGTCAAGTCGAATCCATGCCAAGCACTAATCAAGTTTTCACTTGTGCATTCAGAACTTCGGTTACCACGTCGATATCTTAGGGACTAGCCTGCCATAGCAAGGCATTCATGGTGTCATAAAATCCGTACTTGGTGGTGTCAGAGATAGAGTCAGTTAGGGCATAAGCAGACACGGCAAACAGACATCGGTCAACTTCTCGCTTGGGTTATTCCATTACATACGTTGCCGTATGAGTCTCACAGAGGCGGCAATCAATGGGCATCCTGTCAAGCAAGTTTCCTTTCACCCGGTGAATTGGGACGATATTAACCCTTGCACATCCTAGCTCAATAGCCTATGGAGTGCCGGAGGTGTACAGTCGGAAGTGAGTGGAGAGTAATGGAGCTACTGTTCATCGGATGTTCTTAGACCTTGATTTCTGGTTTCTGATCAGCACTAATCAATGTCAAGTAAGTCAAGTATGCGAGCAAAGCAGCTTGGTATTCTGCTTGTTTCCGAGTTCGAACATTAAAATCAGCCAGACAGACTGGGCCCAGAGGTTTGGGGAATTATTTCCAGGTGGCTGACGCGCAGATATGGCCAAAATCGATGCAAGATGAACGGGGTTGAAACTCCTAATTTATTTATCTACAAGGAGGGTTATTATTGATGTGAGATAGGGAAGGAAAGAACGTGAAAGAAAACAACAGAGACGCCAGCAGTAGCCCATTTTCACTCAGCCAATCTGTTCTTTTCAATAAGTAAGGCGAACCGGCTGATGGCCCCACGCGACGGTCAAGGTGGCATGAGATTATTTGTAAATGTGTAGTTATTGGTTTTACGTTGGCTGAACTACGGCCATAGGTCCAAAAACTGGATAAAAGAACAATTGAGCTCCTCGATCAATGCTTTTGGCTCAGAATACCGATTGCAAAGAAGCCGCGTTAGGTGGGAAATGTCAGTTCATCCCTTTTCCAAGAAATTATAAAATATATTCCAACCCCCACCCTTGAGTATCAGGATTCTATGTGGCTCTAATCATTGACCAGGCTGGTACCAGAAACTCTGGTTGCCGCACCGAAAGTGTAACCCATCGGGTCACGGAGGCCCACAATCCGTCAAACCCAGGTTGTAAATACTCAGATTTTTATAAATTTAGCTATTGCGAAGTTTCTGGAGAAACTTACCTTTTTTAGGCCGCGGGGCCCAAATGACAAAACGGGCTGAATCAAGTGTGTTCGAGAGTCAAAAAACCGAAAAAATAAACAGCAACCGATTGCTAGTTCCCCACAGGATGCCTAATATTTAATCAGCTGAAAACGACCGGACTTCTGCCCAGTGGCCACGCTGAACAAAATTAAGTCGGGAAGCACACCGGTAATCAGCAAATCGGTCAGCCGACGCACTAACTTCTAGCTAGCAACCTTAAACACTTCATCAAAGTATCTCTCGACCAACGTCTATAGGCAAACCGGAGAGCACTCAACAATCACGACAGGTCTCTTGTTATCACTTTTCCTGGGTCCGATCTCACAATGGTTAAAATGTCCGGTAAACTGTTGCTTGGGTGACGCATTAATCCTATTTCGGAACACCAGAGTAATTGAGATCTCTTTCTAAAGTTCGAGCATGCTGTGAACAGCACCCAGGATGATGAGGATGTATTTTTATATTTTTAACTCAGGCAGAGGTTGTTTTTACGCAGCGAAACCTTACATATTTTTAACTCAGGCAGAGGATGCTGTTACGCAGCAGAAACCTTACAGAAAACTTCCAGATTACATTTGGATTTCCTCTGAACTTTAGCCATCAGATTCCTATTTTTTACAAGCTCACAAAACCATTTTTTCATTCGCTGTTTGGAGCTGAACAACCGGAGATGAGGTAGTCTCCAGTTTCATGTTATAATTTTTGGGGTGTAGCCAACATTTCCTTCCCCCCGAAAATCTGTGCGTCATCTCAGGAACCGTTGATTGACTGGAATATTTTGCTCACCTCCAGGTTTAATTGATATAGGCAAAGCGGCCCAAAGTTTCAGTGCATATCTCTCCATTAGGGATCAAGCGCGGATCGTAAGGATCAGTCTCAGCTGAAACGAATTAGTGTTGGAGACATGTGATCTTTACTGATCGATTACATCATGACAACGAATAGCATTTAGTAAGATGCTGACAGCTGGTACTTCTGGAATTTGGATAGCACAACACAGGATTCCTCAGATGTCTTAAAGAATGGAGTTATCCTAACCCACATGGATCCAAGAGCTATTAGTTTGAACATTAAAACAACCTGTGTGTTTGTGCACATTACGCGCGACAATGCAACACAAAATGATGAGACCATACCATGAACCTTGGGTCTCAGACACTAACTGCCTTAATTACATACTACTTGTTATATTCAAGTAGTTACGTATATGCGAAAAAGATCTATTTCCCGTCTGCGACAGCCTCGTAACAAGGGCCAAGCTATTCTAAGTTCAGCTGAGGGAGTAATAACTTCAGAAGCGTAAAACAAGGGGGAATAAGGCATCATACCACTGTCCAGGCACGAAGAATTTCCTTTCGGTTATTGTTTTTGTTAGCTATTCCTAGTCACGATTCACCTGCTGATTCTGAAAACTTATGAAAATTAAATTACTTTGGTCTGTGTGAACCACAGTTCTTGATGTCTTTGTAATAGTATACTCACCCTCACTCACTCTACGATCTTCATGCACAGTTTCAGTATTTTCGCTTAGTCTTCCTCTGATTTACTTTTAACAGGACTTCAGGTAATCTTCGTGAATAAAATAAAACTGTCCACATTCCACTACGGAAGATCTGCATTGTCAATAAAAAACAAGAAATTAAAACACCATCCGTAGACAATGTAATACGGGGGATCTAATATTGGATTCTGAAAATAACGAACATCAGGGAAAAAGTATCTATGACTGGGCAATGAATAAGCAGAGAAAAACGTCATGAGAGCACACACAACCAAGGGTGTGTACAAATGAAAAAGTGTAGATCAGGTAAGATTTTAAAACATTAAACCAAGCCAAGTGGCATTCTTGCGTCAGATGTGAAAAGTGTTTGCCGGAAAAGGTAGGTGGTGTGGTGGAGGCTACCAAACAATCAGACTGCTAGAGTGGCCTATCAATAATCATTAGCAAGTAAGCTTTTGTCATGAGGGAAGCGAGAGGGTTGTTGTGCTAAAACGTGAATGGACAGGAAATGAATAGATGATTGTAGATTATCTTGAGGGATACAGAGGGAGATACCGCCAAAAAGTGTACCCTTTTCATAGTTGCTTTAAGTAGTGAAGGTATGAGAGTAGGGTGATTAGAAACTCTCTACACACACTGGTTGTTAGGCTATCCTACAGTGGTATTATTCGTAAAGCGGTGCTAATGCGAAACAGTGTTACCTGTAATTGAAGGGGTACTAATACCACCATCAGCTCGCATGTTTGCATAGTTCGCCATCCATTTTGTTTCAAAAATTCGTTTCATCCACAATCACGAGGTTCTTAAAAACTACACGTTCACCACCTATACTGAATAATCCCGCGATGCAACTTCGATCTTTCAGACCCGGTAAACTAAACTTGCTGAGTCAACAGTTCAGGCTAACTGAACGCATGCATTCCCAGACAAGAGTGATGCGTTTACCCGTATCACAACGCTACCGCAGGATGAAAAAATTAATCACGATTTGTGAGGTAGTGATGAAGACACTGCTCAGACCTTTGAATTTTCCATACGCAAGTCAATTCTATCCACCCAATTTATAGTCTCAGTATCCATCGGATTGTCAGAACTACTGGACTAAACGAAGGCTGAAAAAGTTTGCCAACATTGGCAGCAACTGTTATGGTTTCTCATTAGTGTTAGATTGTTTTTGTTTTAATAATTCTGTTATGTTCTACTAATGAAGATTGCACAATTTCGACGACCTTATGAACTTCAAACTGACTGCATTTTGTTGACCACTCCGGGATAAGGAATCATGTCGAAGAGAAATCGATACAACATATGAATCAGACAGTAAGAAGTTCGTGTAGGGAACGAAAGGACCATAATAAGAGGTTAAACCTGTATTATTGTAATCCTCGAACGTCTGCGTCTGGGACTATTCCAGAACTATCAGCCACAATTTTATACCACTTGAAAAGCTTGTTCCGCTGGCAGAAGGGACTTCATCGCAAATGTTTTGCACAACTGCTAAATAGAGATGACTGGTTGATTGGGATAGGGTCTATCGATGAGGCTGCTAAAACAACTGGGATAAGAGTATCAAAGATCGTTTATGAAAGTAGGAAGATTTTCGAGGAAATTCTGGTGTGTTGACAGTTGCAGGGGTGCCTCAAGCAATTGGGTAGATACGCAAGAATCAGCTAACGTTACGCATCGATTGGTGTGCTGAAAAGAGACTTAACCGGAAGAAATCCAGCGAACCTATGGTTGTCCTTCTACGAAGGGTCAAGCCAAGTAGAATGGAACTCAACTGATAACCCCTTTAGAGGCACACAAGTCGAATAAACCTGAGCTAATCATGCCCTGGAAAATACCAGAAATAAGGCTTACCACGAAAGGTCCCGCATAAACATCGATCCATTAATAGATCTTCGAGCCGTTTTTACTACCTGAGCAGTGTTTGGCTCTTACGTTGTGTCTTGTTTCTTGCATATGTGAAAATTCACAATTATTGTACACTGAACAAGTAAATAACTGAAGGTTTTTCTCAGACAGAGTCGCAGATCAGCAGAAATATCCTACGTGAAGGCCGAGGTCAACAACTAAACATTCTTCTTTCTTTCATTCTTTATCTTTCATTCTCCGTGAGTCGCAATAAACCTACACTAGCGTGACAACTATCGATCCGTTGCGCGCAAATGGAATCTTCAAGCAGGGGTTATTTACTTCGATAGCACCACAACTAACCGTTTGTAAGATGCGAACGACTGGCTAAAATAGCCTAGCGTCAGTCAAGTAGCTTGCAGCACTTCATTCCGGTGTTCAGATGCGGCAGGTGACAAATGCATGGGTGTAAAACGCCTGTCCTCCGGTGTGGTCAGCGGAAGAACTGGCGCGTGACGATATATGCATGCTTACAACGTACATGTCGTTTTTGGCGGAAATGCGTCTAAACGATAAATCCATAAGACTTTATTGCATAAACATGGGTAGTTTTTCCGCATAGTGGTTCAAGTTTTTGGTTCGTAGTCATCGGATATCTAATTTGGTGGACACAGCTGCAAATCTCGTGGAAGTCTCTTCCATAAGACATTGTGGTCACCAAGCGTTCATCTATTTTCCACACTTCGTGATTGGGAGGTTCCATTCAAAAGGGCTTTGATCAGTAAATCTCACTTGTACACACCACATACCGGTGGTTCACATATCATGCTTACATAAACGGTAGTTTCCACAGTTAGACTTAAGCTAGCGGAATTGCACCGTCCCAAAATATTCGACCAGATTCAGAGCCAAATTCATCAAATTATCTGGAAGCCGAATTCTTCAGAAGAACGTGAGACAGAAAAAGCTTCGGAAGAGGCTATCGTTTGCATGCTGAGTCAACTGGCGAATTCTAAAAAACCTATATAGTAGGGTTACGCATTCAAGGACAACCGACCGCAGCCACTTCGGTGCCCATCTTCCAGTGCAAAAGAAGATGCAGTCCCTGTGGTTTGTCTGCATGCAGTTCTAACCCATAGTGTGTAGTAAGAACAGCTTGCGTTGAAACTGGGTTCAAGTGAAACCTGAAGTTGACGGAAACTCCGTTACTGCGCCTACCTGATGACCCCCAAGAAGGGCGAAACCGGTCATGGATTGTCGGAAGGTTTTCAGCAGCCTGGTAGGTGGCTGCATTTATGGTGCTTGTCTCGTTTCTTCGTGGTCTTGCAGTCACCTGCAGGACCCCGGCTACTCACTCACTTATTTTGATACATTCCACAGGCTTATTGAAGGTGGTCGAGCCAACCTCTTGCCAGAATCCTGATGTGGTTGCTGAGTTTGTGTCCTGCCAGGCCTTCGCAGTCTACGTAGGCTGTAACATTGCTCTCCACTCAGTTTGCTCATGTCGCATAACTCCTCACGTGTCCTTGGAAAGTAAACCCAATAGACTCGACACCTAAGGTCAGGCCTACTAGGAACGCTTTGAGACTACTTATTTTCTTGTTAGTAGATCAGCTCTACAGACAATACGTACAAAGCTACGTACCGCTTCGTTCACATTAGGCATCTTTTTGTTCTCTCTTATTCAGAGGTGAAAATCTATTTCCAACATGATAAAACAGTTTCACAGGAGAAAGTAAGAGAGACACAGACACACAAGTGAAATGAGCTCTCCTTGTTATTTGAAATACTGCGTCTTAGACTGGGCCGAACAATAGGTGTGGTACATGCGATCGCTGCATGATATCCTTGGTGCTAAATGCTCGTCAACTAAGTGTATTACCTTGATAAAACTTGCCAGACTTGGCTCGCGTACATCGTTGCGGTTGCTGCGCATTAATTTAGACGTAGACCTAGGTCGTAATGCAGAATGGAAGTCATGTACTTTAAAGATATCACAAATGCTCTAGTTATAAGCCTCGTGGTGGCCGAAAAATCGCTTATTTACGTGTAAGTGATTGTAAAAATAACAATACAAAATGACGGCTAATAATGTTTCCCAGATCGATTCTTCTGCTTACTATAGGTTAAGGGATTACAAAACCAAAATCGAGCGATCCATACAAGTGAAACGAGAATAAGCAGAAGTTTGTGACCTAATGGTTTGGCCTGTGTGGATAGATCCAATTTGCATACAAACGCTTTCTGAATGCGTGAATGAATCGCGATTGCTTCAGTTGTCGCCAGGGAATGATAATGAACGGATCTTGGTAGGTAACTAGGTGCTTGGTACATTATTCGGCAGATGTCGTTAGAATTAATCAAGTGACTGTTATCAGCCAATTGCGCCACCATTGCGCTAACAGTGGACTTCTTTGATCCGTTGTCGCCCAAAGTGGGTTGTGTTGGTTTATTCTCTTGCATAACTGCCGGTCGTCGTTGGCCTAAGTATTCTGTCGCGACCGATTGGAAGTGACCACAACATCAAGGTTGCCTCAGAGGGTCGTACTAAGGTGCAAGTAGGGTATGCGTCGTCACGTTTAAAAACTACTTAGTGTATCGCTGCAGAACTTTGTCAGGTTCATTCAGTTGTATATCCGTAACATGTAAGCGTCTCATGATTACGATGGTAGGGCTCCTCGTCCTTACTAGAAACATCCATTATAGAAATCCATCGGTGAATGAGCAAGATGCCATGAGCGTCCAAGTCCCACTAACCACACAGCATTATCAAAGCTATGCTTCATTTGGAGTCTTGGAGAACATGGAGTGTTCCAGCGAAAAGGTGCTGTATGCTGTTGTTGTGAAGGCTATTGGCGAATTCCAGTGTGCACTTCGTACTGAAAATGAAGTTACTTTGTGCCAGAAGGCTGAGATGTACTATAAAGCTATTTCATTCCTTGTAAAAGTCATCCATGGTGTGTATCACGCGATTTGCCCTCGATATTTTTGAGATACCCACTGATGATGATTTTCAATAAGGGTGAGATAGGTGTGCAGTGTTTCTGAGCTTTTTGCCTTTGAATGATTTCACTTGCGCGACTAAGTCTCAGATTGTGTCTAGCGAAATCAGTGTATTGATAATGACAGAAGGGTATACAGAGACCAGTACGTGGTTTAAAGCGAATAGCGCTGGATAACCTTACGGCACCGGACACTTACAAATAAATACTCGTCAACGCAAAGTCTCAATAACCCTAAAGATTGCCATTCGTTTTTGTTAGAATTTGTGCTCATCATTCAACCAGATATGCTTGTCGTAGTGTCAGAAGCTATGTCCATTGCAGCTTGCTTGAATCCCGCTTACAGCCGAACCCAAGATACTACAAGGGATATGCATTATTTTTACTGGAAAGAAAGAGCGTGATATTTGGAAAACTGTCCCAGTTTGACTGATGTATTTCTCCTCTCGTTTCTCTTGCGGTAGCAGTTGAGTTTCAGTCTGCTCATGTGCAAAACTACAACTGTGTGTGTGCTTGTCTGCCAGTACTAGTCACTTGCTCGTATTTTGAATGCATGACGGTCAAGCTCAGGACATTAACAGCCATTTGACAGAATTTGGACACAAGGTTGTATATAAGATGCAAAGCATACTGACGATTCTTCCTGACCAATAGGGTGTTTAATAAGAAGTTTCCCAGATTTGGTCGGATGAGTGTCTTCTTTCAATATCAAAGACATAAACCAATAGGGTGTTTAATAAGAAGTTTCCCAGATTTGGTCGGATGAGTGGTCTCATTCAATATCTAAAGACATAAATATTAAAGGAGCGGGCCATTATATCCAGTTGAGCGCCATGATGTTTTAAAGCATTTGAATGGTGGATAAAACATACCACTTTTCACGAGTAAAATCAAAATGAATAAGACAGTTGTGGTTGAGCTTCAGCAAAACGGTCATTTACGTATAAAAGGGCGGATGCGGATAGCCCTCCCACTTGGTCTTAGAACTCGGATTGGGTAAATTCTGTCAGAGGTGTTAATAGTAACCTAACTTAGCATTTTGTGTAACTGTGACTGATCACCATTTAGTCACGGTTAAACAATAATCAATAGCCGACACTTTCCTACATTAACATTGCTTTGGTTTGCAGATCATTGTCTTTAGGAGTGAGAAGAATCGGCGATGTTCAGAGCTGTTTTATAGCGCCACAACAGTGGCTTGGAAAACTAGTGTGAATACGTTCCTTAAAATGGTGTCACTTCTTAGAAATGACAATTGAAGAACATTTCAAAAATTTTGAAATTTAAACGCTGATACCAAATGCCGTTGCTGTAATGTAATTCGGGATAAAATGAAATATACCGTTTACATATACTTAAGGTACTTTAAAGTGGCAATCGTCGCCGCTGCAATCTGGGCATCTTTAATTTATGCGAACATCGTGTAGTTCAAAGAGAGGAATTGGTGATTAATCTTTGGCCAAGTTGCTCGCTGAGTGATAAATCTAGCAGAGTTGTTACTTTGTAATGTATAATAAGGATTTGTCCATATGTAATCACTACCAACGACTGTATTTGCTGGATTTTCTGTTGTCATTAGGTGAATTTTCTTGTTCTTATGTAAGACAGGTTTAACCAGTTGAATTCCCTGTAAGATTAGATTAACAACCCAATACACTGCGTAAATTTTCAGACTTATTTCCTCAATCTGCTGAGGCAGCTTTTGGGCTGGGACTTCCTAAGGTCACAGTCAGTGACTTGTGTTTGCTTGCCATGGTGGACTCTCTGGGTAATTCCGACGCTTTTATGCGTGGCTCATGGCGTTGAGTGTATACTTTTATCATTTAACCACATCCCAGACTAAGAATGACGGGCACTTCGTGCCTGATGTGCGAGTCTTGACTGCCCTAGAGCTAACCCCGCCTTGAAGAACATTCAGCATCGCTTGTCCTTTCTTCATTTGTTGGTCTTTATACGCCTGTTTCCATACAAAAAATTATTACATACTTTGGAATTCATCTTATCTGACTGGAACTGTTGGTGGCATGACTTCGACTGAGACGTTCCTCTCTTTTGTCTCATATTCTTCTGTTAACCTTTCTCATTTATCGCTTGCATTCATTTTGTATATCTGTGACCACGCTCTTCAAAAATAAATGATAGTAGTTAAATTCTACGGCAGACTCACAGCGCTTCCCTTAAAACAACCTGAACATGAAAAAACAGGTCGTGTTTGTTTGGGTTGCCGTTCTCTCCTGTCAAAACGAGTGCACATTACCAACACCCGTGGCCAACGCTTCTGTAGGTTTGATGTGCGACCTGATAATTTTGTTTCGGTCGATCAGAATGAAATTTGAAATGTTCACTGAAACTGTAAAGGGCAGCGGTTTCTCCAAGCTACGCAAGTGACTATGATGAAATTTTGCAGTGAAAAATCTCGCTCAATATTCTGGCCGCTCCAGCGTAAACAAATTGACGGCTAAATACATACACAGTTGTTACCAACGGAACGATATCTAAAAGTGCCTTCATGACATTTTGTGCCTAAACACCTTAGGAATGTTTTAGGCGTTTTAGAAACTAGCTACCCCGATTCACATGTCTGCCCTCCCTCTTTCTCGCAAGCCATAATCCTTGCATCTCACCCCCCATTATTAAAGTTTTCGAATAAAAGACTACCATGAACATCTGTGTCCCAGACACGTTTATTAACAATAAAGTATATACTATCACTGTGCGAACGCAAAGACTACAGGTTCCGTGGCCGACGATTGTTAGGGCGTACAAGCATTTTGCTGACCTAATCGTCTTCGTGTACAGGGAAATGAAGATTCTGAAAGCCGTGGATAGCAGCATTTGGTCTGTAGATGTGTTTCCCTGAAAGTGCAACTGCGTGCATAAGCACTGGTGGCAGCCGGAAATGCCTGACCGAATATATCGTTCGGTCGCTACATCCTGGAATAAAGACGGAAAACTTACAAGTTTGTATGCTGCACCTAGCCAGCTTGCTCATTCAAGGGAATTTTCGTCAAACTTGTTGTGGCTCATGGGAATCAGCGCTAACATAGCTTTCACAGGTACGAAGTAGCCCGCGAAAGGAAGGCAGAGGCATTTGTGTGCTCCGTTTTCGGCTGCTGACTACATGAGGGTAATGCTGAATCGTGGAGGGAGTAAATCAGTTGACGGTTGGCATGCACGGATTACAGAGAATGAATCTATCAATCGTAGTCTAATTCACAAAAAGATTATGGTCGTGATAATTAGGGAGTGCAGCCACTAGATGCGAATCATGACGGAAACTGTCAGAGAAGCACCCGCTGCTGGTTGGCGTTTCAGCTTCCTAAGAAGCCCGTGTGTCATCAAGGGAGGTAAATGACATTAATATATCTAAGTGTATGGTACGGTAGAGAAGGAAGCCTGTGGTACCGGCCACTCGCTTCATCTGTGGTTTGTCTAGGACCTCCTGGAGTTTGCCTATAATGAAGGCTGAACTCGAGTATAAAAACAGACTAAAGTGCCAAGAATTAAAGATTTCGTTCTCCATCCTATTAGTATTCTATTTATCTCTTCCTTAGAGTGACGTCGTCAGACGCTTTATCAAATACTTCCAACAGTGATACCCCCTTATCCATTTGGGTATCCGGCACCTCATTCATCTCTCCTTGGCCGGGTCATTTTTAGTGGAACTGAACAACCAAAACTTTATTCAGACTGCCTTTTAAAGGCCATACTGTGCGATTTGATTTTGACAGCA